TGAAATAAAAACAACTGGCTTGAAAATAATTGTATTAAAGCCAAAAGTGGACATCATGATAGTATAAAATATATTGGTTTCATTATACATTGCAAATGAACGTTGTCGGCCTAAGGATTAATTACTTCCCCATTCTGTTTTCTATATAAATGTGTTTATTAATGATATATTTCACGCACTTAATCTATTACACTTTAATGTTTCACCTCAGCACTTTAATTTTTCTAAAACAGCTTCCAATTCCTTGTAAACGTTGTACTTACCTCAATATTGGTTGGTTATCGCATGCCTACAACCACGGGATGAAAACGAAACGAAGTCGATTTTCCCGCTCAACCTGGAGGACAACTGTACAATTCAATAACTATACGGCCTGGTTCAGACAATCAGTGTAATTATATATATGTATCAAATATTAAACTGTTGAAACATTATTAACTTGTAGACAATTTAAGATTTGATATTATATCATCCTTGATCGTGCCTGTAAAAATGGCATGCATTTTCATGTAAATTTATGTTTATATGAAAATAAATTATTATTATTATTAACGGTTAAGATACTTACCCTCAAACAGAAAAAAATTTCGTTTGTAAAACTTCTACCCAACACAATAAGTGGAATAAAATGGATGTCCATGTAGTTGAAGATTGAACGATCAATTCATGGTTGTTCGCTCAAAATCAACTTCCCTAATTTTCGCGGAGGCATCAATACGACAGTCATTGTCTCATCGGTCGCTGTTCAGAAAGAAGTCAGGGGACAACCGTCAGAAGTGATATTGTGATTCATTATTGTAATATTTGTTCACAGACCTTAGTTGTAACATTGTTTATATGTTGGTGTTACAATAAAGAATCCTCGAGTCGCCAATTGGTGTTTTGGTTTTTGCGTCCGTTATAACTAAGCGTTTCTGAGAAACTTCAAGGAACAGCGTGAGCCCGAGTGCAGCAAGAGCTGGGCATTAACGGTTTACGAGACGTGGCTGACAATGGACATAAACCGACAACATGAGAAAGGCATAACTCACCACAACATCGCATGGGCAGATGTACGCTCGTTGGGCACCATATACACCTCACCAACTACAACCCATCTTTTCTAAGATAATGTGATATCCAAAATGTTGCTGAGCAGTTAATATTTACAACTCCTGTCGGAACAGCTGAAATTCATATATATTCCTCACGCGAAGAAAATATCCACAAGCAGTAGAAATCCATTAATTAATGCGTCTAAAGCTTAAGTATTTTACTCCTAACAATGACATCGTAGATCAAATGAGATAAACATATCACTGATTTCCAAATAACACGTCAATGGACTATAATTCAAGGATTCTGCATACAACAAAATTATATATGAAAATAGACTTCAAGCCTTATTTTTTTCCCAGGCACTTATAACCCATCCACCAAAGACCTGGTTTCCTTTGTTAATGCGAAGACAATATTTCTGTATTTCCTGGTGTGTTGCACTCACTGACAATCTAGCAGATTTTTCCAGCTGTGCACAGAAATGATTGTTCATAAGTGAAAAGGATGTTTTATACTATTGGGACTAACATTTATCAAGTGTATGTATAATCTCCAGCGTATATGTGAAACATATTTTGCTATCGACTGTAAATTGTGACTGAATAATATGGTTCTATTTCTGTAACAATTTGATGATGCCTGTAAACTGGCGTACCTCATGTACTGTACTATGAGAATAAATCCATTTATAAAATGCAAAGGCACACCGAACTTCAGGAATAAAACATCCATCCCAGGCTTAATTACTGACAGTGACACAATCGAAGAAGATGAAGAAAAAGCAGAAGCAATGGTAGACTACTTTTCCCAAGTCTTCACACAGGAGTCATCATCCCTGGCTGCATCAGAGGAATACGGGATAGATTCCGTTGACATCGACCAAGGCATTGTGCTCAACTACCCAATAAAACTAGATGCAGGGAAATCAATGGATCCTGATAATCTTCATCCAAGGTCTCTCAAAGAGCTATCAGCTCACATGGCCGGCTCTTTAACCACTATCTTCAAGCCCTCTCTCCTAAATGGAGTGTTACCGCGTGACTGGAAAGACGCCATATTAACCCCCATCCAAAAAGGAGGATCAAGACAAAGCCCTTCAAATTACAGGCCTATTAATCTTACCAGCACTTTAATCAAGACACTGGAAAGAATCATCAAGGAAAGTAACATGGCACATCTAGGAAGCAACAATTTTTTATTGAGAGCACAGCATGGCTTCCGAGGAAATTTCAACCCCAAAGGGCAACGTTAACGTTGTCCTCATGGACTTCAGCAAAGCCTTCGATAAAGTCCCTCACTAGAGGCCACTCATGAAGCTGGAAAGTCTTGGTACCAAAGGCAGCTTGCTAAATTGGATTAGCGAATTCCTTATAGACAGGAGGCAAGGGGTTAGGATCAACTCAGAATTCTCTTCCTAGACAGCAGTGCATAGCGGTGTGCCACAAGGCATGGTACTCGGACCTCTCCTGTTTGTTTTGTACATCACTGAGTTACCTCTACTCACCGATTCCCCTATGGTCCTATACGCAGATGGCTTAAAAATCTGGGGAGAGCTGAAGGGTGACGCTGGTAAGCTCACGTTGTGAGAGGACCTCAAAAAATTATCAGGTTGGTTCAGAGAATGGATGCTCCCAGTCAATGTAGCATAGTGTGCAACCGCGCGCGTCGGACATACAAACGTCAGTTCCTACGAATTAGAGGGAATAACACTCCCATCAGTTCAGACTCATTTGGATTAAGGCCTCATGATCTAAAAACTACAGCACACTGTCGCGTGGTGGCTGCACGTAGTTTCAGATCCTTATGGGCACTTCGCAGAGCCTTTGCTAGAACCACTAGAGATATGTTCACCTCCTTATATACATCTCAGGTGAGGTCAAAACTAGGAAACTGTATCCGAGTGGCCAGTCTTTGTCTTAAAGGGGACTCGGATTTTCTAGGAAGAGTCCGAAGGAAGGAAACACGTATGATCCTAGGCATGACTAATTTATCATACGAAGAAAGACTAGACAGTTTAAGTCTCTTCTCCCAGTCATACCGTAGACGAAGAGAAGATTTAACCACAATGTTTAAAATTTTAAAAAGTGACTACGGGCCTGACCTATTCTCTCTTTTCCTTCCCATCAGACCGGAACACCCTAGAGGACATAGCAGGAGAGTTCAAAATCCAAGAAGAAACCATATTGTTGTTGAGTACTGGTTCTCACACCAAGTAATAAACTCTTGGAACCGACTCATTCGAGAAGGGTTTTGACAAGCCCAGAAATTTAATTAAAAAAGAATTAACATGGGCTTCAAGCCTTCTATCCTTAACCAATAAATCTGATTCCGAAATCTGAATCAGAACTTAGCTTCTCACCGACATTACGTAAACCTGGGCATCAGAAAGTAAGCAGCTATGCCAGCTATGGGGTTTAACTTCAGAAATTATTCAAGGTTTCTTATCTTTAAAAAGGGATCACATATGAATTAGGTAGATTGTACTCGCTCGTAACAGGATATTGAACAGTGAAGCTGCAACGCGGGTCCTGGGACTAAAACGGTGTAACGTTCGGATATATGGGGTAATTGACTCAGTGCTTTAGTACTTGCTTTAAACTATGTTTCGGCCTCCAAAATCTACTGTTTCCGAAGGATCCTTGGAATTATATGCTCAGCCTTTTGTTTTGCGCTATTTCCGTAAATCTGCTCAGGTCTGCAATGCCGAAGTGGAAGTTAATTGACTTATAATAACTGTGAACTATTTTCTCTGACATGTATTTCATTGTCATTTAGTGGTAATGCTACAACCCATGTTGATTGGTAAGTTCACCCGGAAGACCTGAACAAGGTTAGGGAGAAATATGAACCTTATAAGTTTTATATAATATGTCAAATTTATGTGGAAGGTAATACTATAAGTACTAGAAATAAGCGAACCTTCTACGGCTATTGTTCACATAAGGAGGAATTAAGCTGTGTACACTGATTATGTTATTTAATAGTTTTCACAGTAGCCCAGCTAGCATTTTTTTCGGGCGCATTGCAGACTTTTTGGGGCAAAAACTTCGGGTAGATCTACTTACGTGGGACAGTGTCCCGAAGTCTGCCCCAAAAAGTCTGCAATGCGCCCGAACAAAATGCTAGCTGGGAGATAGCAAGCAAAACGTTACTTGGACTTATGAAGATGACTACTGTGGCGACCACTGTTATTTAATTCAAATAATTTACGACGCAAATTTAAAAACAGATTTAGCTTTCACTAAGATCTTTACATGAGGTGACACGACCTGCAGTACCGGGGTGGACGCTGTCTAGATGGCTTACTTCCTAATCGGTGACGGCTATATGGTTGATGAGTCATGAACTGTATTGAATTTGCCCGAAATCGTTCAACTGCGTTGTGCACAATCTAAATTAGTCCGTTTAATGTGGTTTACGGTATCTCGCAACCTAAAACAATACTGTTAAATATCAGTTTAAAATCCTACCCACTAGGTTTTTTTAAAGGAGAACACAAGGCGAATTTCTTTGAATTTAATGCGACCTCTATACGAATCCTTGTCTTTGAGATTTCATTCACGAAATGAATAGTTGTATTAACTCTGTATATTTTAAATAGAAGACTAGACATCCTTCCTGAGATCAATCGAACTATGAGGAAGTGCGTGCTTCCCATCTTAAACTGTTAGCTGAGCTTTTAGTATTAAACATTGTTGTTTCTTTTAGAAAATAGCTAAAACAAGCAAGCGTGCTCTGAAATCAACATTCAAGTTTAGTACTGAGGTGAAGTCGCTCACTTCAAATCACGAGTTCCTGAAAAAGGCAAAATTGCTACTGAAGAACTTTCGACAACCTAAGTATTCACTTAGGTTGAGAACTTCGAAATAATCTTCCACAGGTAATAAATCTTCCTAAATATTTTATACAGGCCTGTAATAAAGTGCAGACGTTTCTTCTCGTTACCTGGTGACTCTAAGTTCATGGCTGAAACAGAGGAGGCGGTCATTTTCCGGCGTAATATAGTAAAAGAAAACAATAGTCTACCAAGTACTACGAATGATGCTGACGGGGAGCAAGAGTCTGAAACAGATTCCAAAGACGTCAGGTTAACTTTGATGGAAGAAGTTTTACTTTTAGGACTAAAAGACAGGGAGGTGGGTTCATGCTTTCCATCTTGTAAAACTCTTCTAGGGCTATTTGTCATTCTGGAATGACAGTGTTAGTTGTGGACTTCGAGGATGTATACTAGTTGAACTTGGCCTGAGAAATAGAATTGGATTAGAGCCGAGTGGGATGCGTCGTAGAAGCTTGTTATCCAGATGTATTGTTGTCAAAAAAAGTGTGCCTACAGGTGATGCTCTACTCGACGAGGCTCTTAAGCATATAAAAGAAAACAAACCTGAAAATACCAAAACATGGATCGAATATCTCAGTGGTAAGTTTTTGATATTGGTACTTAAATATTATCTATCAGGTGAAACATGGAATCCGCTTAAATTACCACTTCAGCTGCGCAATGTCAGAGAAAGAATCGCCAAAAATTTAGTAGAAAAACGTATATGCACAACAGAAAAACAGAATTTCATCCTTTTTGATATGATGACACATCCATTGGTTGATCTTGGCAGTAAACAACGCATAGTGAATCGTGTTCAAGATGTTATCCTTAACAAATGGAGTACAGATGTTCACAAGATTGATAAGCGTCTTTTTTCTCTAGTTCTCTTATCTCATTATTCTGATGTACTTGAAAGTGCTTTACAGCATCTTAGTGACAGTGCATATGATCTTGCCAGAAAACGAATTGACAGTACATTACAAATGGATTTTGTTACAGAAGCGAATAAAGAAGGTTCTTGTGAAATGTTATGGGCAGTTTTAGCTGCTCTTAATTCTTGAAGTTAGATACCCTTCACATTGTTTTTCGGCTGGCTGTGATTAATTTAGTGTTTAGTTGAATTGCATTGTTTGAAAGCGATTATCAATTTTGTGTCGTTGAACTTTTGTAATTTACACATATAAAAAAAAACACCACAATCAAGTTACCAAAATAAACCTTGAACTTCAAAAACAAATATTGTTCGTTTGGATTGTATGCGGTTCAATTTACACATGGTTTACCTTAACATACATACCTTACATTTTATTCATTTGAATTACTCTTTTCAACTTCAAGAAATTCTTAGAGATCTATTCATTCTTAACATCATACTTGGTCTTGATGCGTGTTTCAAAATGTGCATGCTCCAGAGGCTGTATGAAGATTCTGTAAAAAGAACAACAACAAATACTCATAATTTTTTTTACTGTTTAACGTTTGTCAAAAAATAATTTTGACCACATATATCTATATATATTATGTGGTGTCTGTTCATGTAAATCAGCATCAACCTTAATAAAATTTTAAAGTAAGGTTTCCTGGTTTTTTTATTTTTCTAAATTTTAATTATGTCCTCATTGCAATTTAGAAAATGTGCATTCTTCAGTCAGTCGGTCGGTCAGCTTTTTGATTTTATTGTCATATATATATATATATATATATATATATATTTGAGATGTTAGTGCGTCATTTTCGTAATGACATCTCTAGGATCTTCCTTGTAGCAAGTTGTTTATATGTTTTGGACTTTATCTCGCCTGTAGCATCCTTGAAATGCCTTGTTTTTGATGAAATCCCTTTAGATTCTAATTCCGCCTGTAGTTCTTTAATTAGCCTAGCCCATAACACTTCGCATTGATATGTATTACATGCATTGTTGTGTAATGAATTTTTGGGTTTTCTGTAGCTGGAGAATTTTAAAAAATGTCACCTTATGATGGTGGAAAAGATTTTTCATAGTTTTGGAACGTGGGTGGATGATGAAAACAAATAGGATCAGTGCTAGTTGATACTCGTCAACTGCTTGTCTGAATGATGCCCGGGGAGGCATCGTGTACATTTGGAAGTGTGTAGGCGGTTGTTACTTCCCGGCTGCCCACACCGTGGAAGTTGATTGATTCTTCGGGAACTTGAATTAGAGTTGCGTGACCGTAGAGCCCAGGGGATAACTGCTTGAGGCCGGCCGGTCACACACGGACTGTATGAACTGGTTTCTTGGTTTGGTTCCGTATTAGTAAGCTTACTGCCGGTTACGGACCACCGTAGCGTAAGTCAGGATGTAGAATTTTTGGGGTCGACCTTTCCTAACCCCTCTTTCCAGAGTGGAGAGGCAGAATAGCTGGCATGCTGGGCATCTGAGGGAAACACCTTACTGCGATTACATCCCTGTTCCCCAGCAGTACGACTTCGCCCACAGACCCCCAGCATAGTGTAGTAAAGATTCTTTCACTATGCCGTTAACTGCTTTTAGTCTAATCGCTATCCTAACAACCTTCCTGGCATGGTAGGACCTGCAGGAACATTGGTTCCAGCCAGTGTAGCTTGTTGGGTCATTGCGATGTGCAAGCCCGACCACCACGCGAATGTTAGCAGCTATCTATCGGGCGTCAACTGTTTATAGGTAGGCTGACTAAGTAAACGGGTTGTCAAAAAGCTATACGAAGTGAAACTATCTTCAAGAGGTATAAGCCTTTAATAACTTAAAACAGAAGACTGGAACCCTAAACAGAATGTTTTGAGATGTAACTGAACTGGACCAGTTGCTCAACACTTAATTCTAGCTTAAATATGATTTGATTACAGGTATGTTTAAGGATGGTGGCGTGAGAATTCGAAATAGTCTCTATAGACTATTGTAGATCTCTGATCATATCAGTTTTCAAACAAAACGAACAAATCCCTGTGTTAAGCATTATGATTAATGTAACAACACGACATATGTACCGTTTCAGTTTCAAACAACTATTTTTTGATCAAATTTTCACCCCAATCCACTTATTTCGGAACAGACACTTGGCACACTTCCCTATCTAAGTATGTAGCATTTGACTTTATCGGTCGAAAGGCTTTGTGATATAATGCCTGAGTGTATGAAGCGAGTAATGAATATTTGTATGATGTATGAGAAGTTACATAGAATTGTTATCTGAAGTAACCGGATTTCTATAACACCATTCTTATTAAGTTTTATTACAGACGTATCTCTTTAATGTCGACGTCTCAGGAGTGAAATTATGCTAGGGAAAGGTCGGACTAACTTTGGGTACATAAACAATATGATGATTTTAGGTAAAGATACTGATACGGTGTATAGTTTATTGAGCCCGCACCTCCCCCGTGGGTAGAAGTTTTACCTCCGACTAATGCGAAATGATGCTATAAGGATGACCTGCACTGAATCTTAGTTTAAGAATATGGAATGAAATGGTCAAGTGAGTTGAACATTTCACTCATTTGGGAAGTTAGGTCATCTGCAGTTGGTAAGGAAATTTCAGTACAGATTAATGCTTGTTTGGCATTCAACAACAAGCATCATTTTTAGAACTTACAGAGAGTGTAATACATAGCAGGTTAGCTCTGTGAAAATGAAATGAGAGGAACCCTGCTGAAATGCAACTGTCACTTTTCCTTAGTTTCAGATAGTTCAAAGGTTATTCCTCCTTAGATGTGATAAGACTACCAGTCAGGAAAATATCTTGTTTAATGTCCTCCGACTTTTCTCCCACAGGGAATAAGAATTTTGCTGTTTATTTTAATAATAATAACAGCTTTATTCCAAACGGTATTTGTGGTACAGGTATGGAATTTTCAGTGTGCATTACAATATATTGCATCTCATTACCTCATAAATTTTATAAGATTTTTAAAATCAAAATAAATAAATAAATGAAAAAAAACCAACGCCAAAAAAGTAAAAGATAAATCAAAATAAGAAAAAAAACAAACGGCGTACAGTTTATATCTCAAACAATGCACCACAGGATATGAAATATAAAGTCGATGTGTAATAGAAGATGAGAACAACAGTGTAATAGTAACGAGGAAAGGAAAACAAAAACTAATGGGACTATTTGTTAGAGTGCCTCAGTAGGCTGATCGTGTCATACCTAACGGATTTCTCATCACATAACAGTTGTGCCAGATATGGTATTGTGGAGTTTTTGTGTACTTGGTAGTCCTAGCATATAGCCTCCTATAGCTGCTTCTAGTTCTACCAGATGAAATGCAAGGAGACAGCTGTGTATAGAGAGGATTCTCGGGGTCCGACAATATTGTATGTCAATAGACTATTTCTGTATTCAACTAACTCATCTTCAATGTTTCTGGTTTGATTGCGGATTGACGTCAGTTAGAGAACCACCGAAAACCAGCAGGAAGTACTGGAAAGCTGTCTTATCCTTACTTTCAGGACTAATTGGCAGAACTCTTTCTTGGCATCTAAAAGCTCCTGGGTTGGAACCCGGTGGGTAGATGGGTGGGTACTGTCTATGAGTCCCATACTTGAAGGACGAAACGGTTGTCCAGTACTCTCTGGTGAGTTTCAATGATTCTCTTACTGGTATTAATCCATCCGTGGTGAAACGTGATAAACAAATCAAATCCCTAAAAACAAACCGTTGAAAATTCATCTTGAATGGTAAGTGTTGGTAACAGCGTAGCTCGAAGGTTTGCCTGTCAACTTATGGAAAAGTGTTCGAAGTCTCAGTCCTACTCTGCTTTACTTTGACAAGATGGCCAAGTACTACTAGAAACCTTCAACGCTGCACACATACACACACGTGGTCTGGTACACAAAGCTAACTCCTCTCTTAGGTCTGGTGGCACATATTGAGCTGTGAGTGAATTAGAATTTACCCTATTGTGTTTGATTAGCCTATTATTATGATGCCTTACATTTTCAGCTGTCTTTAAGTTTCATTTGTAGCGATAATAACTTTTTTCGGGTAGCTAAAATCTTTCTAACTTTATAACAGATGTGAACCAACAAAATAAGTATGATCTGTTTTACTGATTGACATAAACAATTGCAAACTATTCACATCAACCAATAATTCTTGCTAGTCACCTCAGGCTAATCTCACCATCATCAGATGGTTCGATTGTTTGGGGAATTGAGTTCATGATAGGGGTTTGCCTTGATTAATTAATCTGAGTGCTGAATCAGTATTTGAGACGGCTGATCAGCATTTAGCGAACACTATTAGCAGAGATGTGAAGGGATCTTAGCTATCTCTTTCAATCAATGTTATATACCATCTGGTTAATTTGCTTGCTTTCTTGATCAGTACCAAGTAGGTCACATAGTGATCCGAATATTTTTTTGGGTTACCAAAAGATAGTAAAATACGTTTTACACTCGAGCTGTGTAAATTTGCTACTGCACTCAGCATACAGAACTAAATTCGGATTTTTCACCACTAATGGCAAGTCACTTCTTGTATGTGGGTCAGAAACTTGCACCGCGCGTGCGTCACGTCAAGCATTTCCAACAGAGGTCCCTTCAGAATTTTATCAACAGTGGCCACCTCCTCTGACTCCATACTGAAGATCAGATGGCTAGCCAGTCGGAAAGAATTAGCAACAAGCAACACTCTTAAGGGACCAACTGATGACTTATGTGAACGTATGCATCAATGATAACTTCATCGCTAACAAATATAATTGATCTGTCCTAACGCCTCCTCCATTTTAATAGGTTTTCAATTAGGGGACCACTGGAAGATATATGTAGGCCTGGACACTCTCCGTCTATGATAACTCCTATTCGAAATACTAACGGATCGTTGCTTGGTGAACGGTCGACTTTACCAAAAAATATTAAGCAAGTCAACAGATTATTCCTTGGTCAGAATTAAACATGTGTAGCGAACAGTGAATACTGATGCATTTTTCCCCGAAACTTTTACGAAGAATTTGCACTACTTCATCAAACTCAATGTCACGAAGAATTATTTCCCAAAAGAGATAGTTTATCAATCCAATCGATGACCAACACGTCCAAAACCATGATGATTCGTAA